AGGAAATGCAGCCTGGTCAGCTGCACCACAGGGAAATGCCTGGGGCAGAGCCCATGGCCTCCTGCCAACCTCTAATCACTCCCCAGCTGACCATATGCCACCTCAAGCCTTTCCCGCACATTACCTGAGAGATTATTTAAAATGCAGATTCCTGAGCCTCACCTCACTTCTTCTGCATGTCTGGGGTAGGAGCCCAGGAGTTTGCTTGTCCAAAATTCTCACACATGCTCAAAACAGAGCTCTAATTTAGACCCTATGCGTGGAGATGATCTGATTTCTGGCTACTTTGTAATTTGGGAGTTTTCACATGGCAGGTGTGAGATGGCTTTGATTAGTTCTCTAAGAATCAGGCACCTTCAAGAGTAGTGAGAAATTAATAGCACAGAATGATGGAGCAATTCTATTTATAGGCCAAAATAGCAGATAAAAGTAAGAAAAGCTGGCCCAAATGACAGGAGAAGGCAATAATCAATATCCTAACAGAAAACAATAATGCAGCTGGTACCATAAAGCAATCCCATCGGGAACTGTATATTGCATCCTTAGTGTCCCGTTGTAATGAAGCCCACAGAATGCAGCACGCATTAGCCAGGGCAAAGCCTCTTCAACGTGGAATATTCTGCCACACTGCAGGCACATTTATTTTATTTGAAAGAAGAATGGTCCTGTTGCCAAGCCATCAGATGGTAAAAAGAGATATATTTGATGGATAATAAAAAAGGGTCTGCCACAGCCTCACAAAATACGTTTCTAATGTAAATGGGCCTAGTACGTGGCATTCATACCTCTGATGTGCCGATCCCTGCACAGAAAGGCAAGCAGGGACCGGGAGAGCCGTGGAGGGCGAGTCAGGAGTACGGCCAGAGATGGGGGCGCTGTTATTCCTAACAATAACAAACAACAACCCCAAACTCACTTGGTAAACATCACTCACTTTCTCCCCACCTGTTCTTGTGTTACAGACTGACAGCCCTTTTAATATGAAATAAATCAGGCAGGAGAAGGAGTGTCTGGAAGAACATACAGATTGAAAGCTGACTGACAGAACGCCTCCAAAATGCGCTCTGTTTGCATTTGCCTTTGTAGCAGCTAACTTGAAAGCATGTCAGGCGCTTTGAAGGCTGCGAGGTTGCCTTCTGAACCTGGAGGACGAGCGTGCTGTGTGCTTCCTGGAGGCTCCTGGCCAGGCGGGGGCCCCTGCTGTTTGTGCCCGAGGGACGGCAGAGCAAGCCGGGCCTGCAGATGCTGGCGGCCCCTTCCATCTCCCTCCCACGTGGGGGGCTAAAACAGCATTGTGTCTAATACCCGGTTTCCTACCGAGGTAGAAACAGCCAGTAGTCCCAAGCCAGTGGGCTCACACTGAGGCATTAGGGCCTCGTCACTTCTCACCAAGAAAACCTGCTGGTAATGAGCCGTGTCACCTTTCAAGGTGTGTGGTCAGTGGACATCTGAGTCAAGTGCACCCCCCACCTCAGCCCAGCCTCCAAGATGCTAAAGTCCCCTTGGTGAGCTGTCTCCTTGGATTTCCTGGACTGTCCAGTGTTCGCAGTTATCCTGCAAAGAAAATACTAGTACCTATCAGTCATGAGACAAGCGAAGTCAGCTTCAACATCATGCACAGGGGAAGTATTTCTGCTCTAAGGCAAGAAAATGCTCACGAAGTATGGGGTGGGCCGGGAGTAAGCCTGGAGGAAAAAGGAGAGAACAAGGCAGGAGGCGAGCGCCAGAAAAGCGTGCGCTGCTGGAAAGGTGTCTGCCTTGCAGAGTCCCCCTCCTGTCCTCTTCTGCTGGGATACCTGGGATACCCTGCCCGGCCTTCACACCCACCAGGCCCTTGCCCCTGCTAACCTGGCTCTTTGAGCATCCCACGAATAGCGGTTGAGTATCTGTGAAGGGCTGGTCCCTGTCCTGGATGTCAGAACTACAGTGATAAATAATTTGGACAAAGTTGCATCCTCGTGGAAATGACATGGCAGAGGGAGACAGTAAAGGAACACAATGTTATCCCGAACAAGGTAAGTATAGATTGTGCCAAATGCTGTAAAGGAAAGAGAGTTGATACACTCACTGATGCTTACCCAGTAAGCCAGGAGGCTTGCTTTGGGCACGGATCAAGGATGGCCTGCCCAAGGAGGCAACATGTGAGCAGACACCTAAGATGGGAAAAGAACCCAGTCACGTGACAAACAGGAGCAGAAGGTACTTAGGGTGCAAACACACTGACTGAGCCACGAGCGGTCTCGAATGGGCTCCCGATGGGACAGTCACACGACCTTCTAGCGTCTCCCTCATGGGGCTATTAAGATTAGAGGAGATGTGCAGAAATGGTTACACTGTGCCTGGCACAAAGTCAACACTCAAGAAATGATAACTGCTACTATTATTTTCAAAGACTTGGGTTCATTTCGAGGTGGGAAGGGAGTGTGAAATCAGCTGCTTAGGGCCATTCTGAGCCAGTGTGCCTGAGTCCCTGTGATGTCAGGCCACTGAAAGCATTCGAGTGCAATTATAAAGAAATTACTTTCCCAGCAATTAATCACGAGTATAAGATTGCCAATACATATCATTGCTGCATTATGACACATTGCATCACACAATCGGAATGTAGAGTAGAAAGGGGCCATTTGTAGCTGACCTTATTCAAGTCAAATCAGCTCAGTCAATTGAAAGTCAGTGGGAGTTTTGCCTGAGTAAGGGTCAAGACCAATTATTGAAAGGCATACTAGACCAAGGGGGTGTTTCTGAAGACATTACATCTCATAGTAATTTTCACAGTTCAGAGAGATGTTGAAGTAGCACGTGTAGACAATATGGACAATACATTGTTGACAAAGGTTTTCTGTCCAATCCTTTATTTCAAGAGAGTTTATCTGCATCTTTTTAATTTTTTTTTTTTTTTTGGACAAATGCAAGAATATGGTAAAAAGTACAAAATGGCTGCGAGATGTATCTTAAAACCAAAGTAGGGTCATGGGAAGACAAAGACTTCTCAGCAACTATGCTATTAGCTTGGATTCTCGGCTAGAGAATTCCAGGCTAGAAAGCTCCACGGCCTAACTGTAGCCTCAGGCTTCTCCTCCATCTTGCAAGTCTCCCTTGGCTTTGGAGGATGCAACTGAATCTCAACACTGGCTTATACAAGATTTAATTCAGATTCTTAATCTACCACTAAAAAAAATAGTTATTCTATATATTTCAAAGCCAGCATTGTCTATGGATTACTTGCTGGTTTTTGTAATATCTGTGGGTCTACCCTCTTCCATTCCCCTCAAAATGTCAGTGAGCAACTAGAAGAAAAGGCTACTTAAACCCATTGTGGGTCTTTCACCAGTGCCTACTCTGTCTGTCCTCGCCAGCCTCCAAGCCTGCTTTACACCGGCTGGCTGGCTCATCGCCACCAAGATTTTTCTAGGGCTCTAAGAAAATCATTTGAATCTTGAAACATCTTTATAAAAGACTATTATAAGAAGATTTCATGTGTCTAACTTCGTCAATATATTCTTACTATGACGGGGGAACAAAAAGCAAAACGGCTCGGTAGACCGCAAGCAATTTGAGAACAGAAATCGTATCTTTTATTCTTCATACCCTTCACTATGCCCTACATTTATGAATCCTCCAATAAATAAGTGCTCTGTAATTGGTAAACTACCAAGAAGTTAAATTGCTTTGTCTAGACAGAGAGGATTGATTTGGACGGATGAAGTTATAGTTCAGATTCTATGTCCAAGGGGTAATAATGTTTCCAGACATGGAAGCTTGGTATGTAAGCTACCACAGGTCTTTAACTAGCCAAAGGGAATCACTGAAACTTTGCAGCTGGAGGTTCTTGAAATTTGCACAAGATACAAAGTTGGGGGGAGGGCGCCTTTTGTACAAGGGGCTTCTGGCTCTAACCAGGTGTAAGAAGGGGTTTGCTAATTGATAAGATATATAGTAGCCCAGGTTCCTAGATAATGAAGCCTGAGGCAAAAGCTTAGGTGCTGAGCTGTCGTTGGGTGGTGTAATCCCACAGAAGTAAAAGTAAGCGGAAGGGGAGTTAAGTCCGGGAAGGAGGGAGCGCAAGAAGGAGAGACATCGAGCTGGGCTCCATGGAAGTACCAGCACAGCTAACCACTCAATGGTACAAGACGGTCTTGGGCAAGGCCACGTGAATTACCGCCTTCCAGACAATCTGCTGGGGGTGGCAGGGCAGGGAAGGGCAGGAAGACTCACTTATCCATGGGCTCCCATACCTCAATGGGCAAAGGTTGGTATTAATCCCCTGTGATGAGTGATTTTATGTGTCAACTTGGAGGGTGTTTGGATGAGATTAACATTTAACTCAGTGGCAGCCGCTGGCCTTCTGACTGGAGCTGCACCATGGGCTCTCCTGGGTCTTGAATCTGTCTCAGATCGGCCCACACTGCACCTGTTGGACTTGCCTCCATAATCAGATGAGCCAACTTATTATATATACATATGAATATGTATATTCATTTTATATATACATACAATTCATTATGTATATATACATGCAGTTCACACATACACACACACACCACCCCCCACTGGTTGTTTCTCTGGAAAGCCCTGACTAATGCACCCCTGTATTTCCAAGCTGCTTATGCAGAGGTACAGACTGGCGCTCCAAGCAGTTTCATTTATCAGTGTTACACCTATAAAAGGCAGTGGCCATGGTGACTTGGGAGAAGCAAGTGGCCAAGGGCTGGGAGGTAGTTCAGGCAAGAGGGTCTGAGGTGAGGCCTGAGAGTGAACAGCATGGAGGGGAATGCCAAACGAGGCTCTGATTCTCAAAAGGTGCTTACAAAGCCTCCTACAGTAGGCTTGTGGGTAAGGTGAGAAAATGTGTGCTCACCTTACAGCGGGGTAAATTTTCAAATAACAAGACAACATATACTCCAGAGTACCCAGGCTTGAATGCCACTATCTAGATGTGTGACCTTGGGCCAGTTATTTAGCCTCTCTAGTTCCTGTTTTATTGGTTTTTGAAATGAGACCATTCTGGATTGGTGATGTTCAGGCCTTCCCTCAGCTCTAAAAGTTATATTTACCTCTCCGATTTGGACAAACACTTAGACACGTAAAGATTCCATAAATCTGACACATTCAATGTCAGAAGCAGAATTGTTAAATATTTTATTAATAGAAATAAGGGGCCAAAGTCAATACGAGGGAATTTTGCAAAGCTAAATGTCAAGCCCTGCATTTGGGACCAAGCAACCAATTCTACAAGTACGGATTAGGGGAGACTTGGCTTGAGAACCATCTGGATTAAACAGCAACAGCCAAGCCTGGGATTTCTGTTGACCCCAAAGTCCAATGAGTCAACTGCTCAATAAGCAGGTACCCATTACTGGGGTTTCTGCACTGAGACAGGGGTTGGATAAGATGGGTCAGAGGGCCAGGGCCTCCGATGATCCAACTAAGAATTCCCAGCTTCATTCACGCTTATCCTGTCCCTTTAGCCTTTGCCTCGGTCCAACTAGATTGTGGCCCAGGGCACAAGAGCCACAAGGTCAAGTGCCCCTATCGGATTTTAATGGGATCACTGAATGGCACAAGGTTACCCAGAGAGCCTCCCAGCTTTTCCTTCTCTTTATCCTCCAGGAGTGATTGTTCTGGATTGTGGCTCCCCTGCCTGGTGTATAAAGTCACCTAAACACAAAACTCATAACCAGAAGGCAGCTTCAGGAAGCCTCGCTCAGCTCTTCAAGAGTTATAGGCATTAAAAGGCGGTCCCCTGGAGTGCTCTGCCACTCTGCTGACTGGAACCAAATCTATCTTAAAGTTGGAAATATGATCCAGGTGGGGATGGACTGTGATTTAATGCCATTCAAGTACTATAGGGCACACTTCTTAAAGAAACCGTTGTAAATTATTTGTGGCTAATGCCACCGGTGGATGGAGGGCATGGTATATTCTCAAGTACAAGAGCCCAGCTTGTATCTAATAATTGTTATATCTTCTCTGAAATTTACTGCCGATGTCTCAATTTTAACAATTTAAATAACAAGATTAACCAAGTGGAACAAAGCTCAGGCAGGCTGGCGCTCTTGATGAAAGGAGGACAACTCTTATGTCTGAGCGCATTTTACTTTGACATGAGCAGTGACACACAGAGATGAAATCTGGTTAAAGCGGCAGCCTTCTCAACCTCATGACAGCTTCTTAGGCTAAGCACAACAATTTCAAGAGAGTGCACGCATACACTTGTTAACTTTACTCAGGAAGACTGATTAGGGACAATGCTTATGAATATGATAATAAGAGGTGGGAGCTGGAAAGGTAAGCTAAAGAAGCCAGGTAATTGGCATTCTGTTTTCTTCACTTCTAATGGAGTGCTCTGCAGTCTTAATTCTTTGGGTGTATCAGTTTGTTTAGAAACGAGGTGAATCTCCTCCGAGCACCAAGTCTTAATGATGATAGCACATTTTTATTTGACCTGCTGCTGAGTTGCTGTAGATACTGTGAGTGGCCACATGTGATTTCCCATAGATGATAGGCTCATTACCCTTTTGATGCTCTTTACTCCCCGTCCTGAAAGTCCCAGAATTTTAAAAGATGTTTCATGCCCAAAGTTATGTAACACATGCAAAGCAAGGCCTATTCTGAAGGAAAGCCGTGTCCTTGACAGCTACACACAAGGCCATGCTGGGAAGCTGCAACATGACTAGTAGAATTCCCCCAAATTGCAAGATCTTACAGAAGAGTAAAGAGACTAGCCTATGAGCAGCAAGAGCTCAGAAAAGCTGTTTAACCTTTCTGGATCACTATTTCCTCTACAGTAAATCCCGAGAACTGGATTGTGATATCAAGTTCCTTTGAGCTCCACTGTCCTATGAGTTTATGCTCCTAATCTAAGGGCAAGTAAAACCAATTCAAATTCACTTGCATTATTTTAAGCTAAATACCAAAAGTCTTAATAGGGTACAACCACTCAATCAAAAAGTCTGGCAGTTTCTTAAAAAGTTAAACATGCCCCCAGCATACGATTCAACCACTGCACTTCTAGGTATTTCCCCAAGAAAAATGAAAACTGAAGTCTACATGAAGTCTTGGACACAAATGTTCATTGTATCTGTATTTATAATAGCCCCCAAAAGAAAACAACCCAAATATCCATCAACAGGTGAATGAAGAAATAAACTGTACTCTACACAATGGAATACTACCCGGCAAGAAAAAGTGATGGATTGTCGATGCACTCAACAATATAGACGAGTCCCAAAATAAGTACGCTGAGTAAAAGAAGCCAGACAAAAACAGTACATACAGTATAATTCCATTTATATAAAACTCCAGGAAACGGAAACTAATCTATAGTCATAGAAAAGCAGATCAGTGGCGCCTGGGGACAGGGTGGGGAGGGCATGAGGGAGAGGGAGGATTTACAAAGAGTCACAAGGAAACTTTTGGGGTGACATATATGTTCACTATCATGATTGTGATGAGGGTTCCATGGGTGCATATATATGTCAAAACCTGTCAAAGTATATACTTTAAATACATGCAGTTTATTATATGCCAATTACATCTCCAAAAAAGTAGTTTTTAAAAACAAAAAGTCTAAATACTATGCATAAACCTTAATGCGAGTTCTAAGATGTATCTCAAAGAATCAGAAATGTGTGCTGAGATGTGGAGTATAAGGGTGTTTGGTGCAGTAACCTATTTATACAAACGAAAAAAACTGAAAACAGCCTAAATGTCTAAAAGGAAAGAATTGATTAGGTAAAGCATGGCACATCTTTATGCTGGGATGTGATGCGGTCATTAAAAGTCTTGACAAGGGGCGCCTGGGTGGCTGAGATGGTTAAGCATCTGGCTTCGGCTCAGGTCATGATCCCAGGGTCCTGGGATCAAGCCCCACATCAGGCGCCCGGCTCAGTGGGGAGCCTGCTTCTCCTTCTCCCTCTGCCTCTCCCTGCTCATGCTCTCTCTCTCTGTATCTCTGTGTCTCAAATGAACAAATAAAATCTTAAAAAAAAAAAAAAAGTCATGACAAAATCCTGTCATGAAAAACTGATCAATTTCAATGTGAAAAAAGCAAGGTACAAAGCAACATGTAGAGCATAATGAAACTATATGTTTTTAAAGTCTGTGTTGGAAGTTGATAATTAATCACCCTTCTCTCTTCCCCTCCAACTGAGAAGCAGAGTAAAGAGCTGGGCGAATGGAGAGCAAAATATCAGCTTTGTTACTAAGCATTTTGGAAAAACGTAGCTTGGAGCTAGGGCAGAGCGGGCTCCCTACCTTTCCTCCGTGAATCATCCTGAGCCACAGAGCACTACAGCTCACTGCGAGGCCAGGCCAGCCCTGCAAAGTTTATCCCTGTGTAGAGTTCTCAACCCCACGTTACTGGCATGTTGGGTGGGGCTGTCTGACACGGTGCAGGTTATTAGCATCCCTAGCCATCACCCATCAGGTACCAGAGAACCAATCCCCCAAGCAGTGTGACAATGAAGAGCCTTTCCCACGTGTTTCCAAATGTCCCCCAACCAAGGGAGGTGAGCTGCCCCAGCTGAGAACCCGCTGAGTGTTGAGGATAAGCGGAGGTGAACCTCCTGAACCATGAGTGGAAGGGGCATGCTTAAGTAATCCCCCTTATCCCCCCTCCCTCCACAAAACCCTCTTCCCATGGGCACAGGGGAGTAAGTGAGGCAACAGAGGGAAAAGTGAAAGTACTCTGCCTAGTACCTCCTTAGGGAAGGAAGTTCCAATTTAATTGTCCGAAGTAAAAACCCAAGGAGAAAAAAAGGAATGGCTCCCCTTGCAATCTAAAGGTGAAGAAAAAGATCTGGAAGGACATATGCCCTGCTGCTATCACGGCTACCTTCCCTGGCTGGGTAGTGGGACTGAGACAGAGGGGGAGCATTATGGGTGATTATTTTGTTTGGCTCTAAGTATTTTTGGTTTTTCAAGTTTTCTTAATACATGACTCTTGATACTTGGTGGGGTGGGAGGGTGAGGGGCAGCCCCTTTTTCATATAAGAGAAAAAGTAAACTAAAAGGAAGGAGAGTTCCTGAGCTTTCCAGAACTACAGTGCTAGGCAGTACCTGGCCTAAGACTTCCCCTCCCCACTTCATGATCCCCAGGGCACTGTCATACTTTGTGAAGATGCCATTTGGGGACGTGTTGCCCATCACCTATGGTATTCAGTGTTGCTCTGAAAGTGTCCAAAGTGTTCTGTACATGGGATTAGATTCCGCTTTCACTTTTCCTTAGTTGATAAAGAGCATCAAGCAATTTTTCTAGAATGGCCTCTACTTAGCATCCTCATGGGATTGACATTCAGGCATGCCCTGGATCAAGCTTCTCAAATTGACCCAACCAAAGCCTCACAGGCTTCAGTCTATTGCAAAACTAAAATTACAGAAAGTCATTGACATTCAACTATCTAAAGTTTTTAACACCAAAAAATACAGTGCAATATAATGGTGCTACTCATAATATAATTACATGATTTGTGTTCAGATACTAATTTATAAAGCCTTATCCGTAGCTTTGTCCTATATAGGAAACAACGTTGTGCAGAAACCATCTTCCTCTGTCCTGCTATCCTGCAACTCTACCCATGGCCTCATTTGAAGATAACATCAAAAGTCTGGGTTGATGCCCTTTGAATGTAAGCCTGGTTCCCACAGCCCCTCATCCTCCACCTTGTGCCAGTGTTGTCTCAGATGCAAGCTCCAGCCCTCATTACAGACTCAGTCTCTATGGTGCGTCTCCTGGAGGGGCGGGGGACAGGCATTTGGAAACACATGCTCTGAGAGAAGGAGGTCAGTGACTCAGGTGGCAGAGACCCAGGTAGCAGATCAGTCAGACGATACTGGGCTTGAACCATTTCAATCCAGGTCCCTGTTTGGGTGAGACATTTTCACAGGAGACACACAGTGCCGAGTCAGTGAGATCCTTGTGGGGTGGGCTGGCCAAAATTTCTGAAAAGCAACACCTGTGAAGACTGTTTTTAGTTCTTGGATAGCTTCAGATGGTCTCTGTGGCATTTGCTACAACCACAAATGGGAAAGCCTTAAAGAAACTTCCATTTTTTTCTGATAGCGAAAATTCTGGATTGGTATAGGATTGTGTGTGTTTGTGTGTGTAAGCTTACAGAAGCACTTCCCCATGTTCCTTGGCTGCATTTTTAGCAAAGTATCCCAAATTTCCTTTGGGATCTCTCTCTACCATTTCAAGCGGCTGATCTGCTACCCGAGTCTCTGCCAGCTAAGGCATGGACCTCCTTCTCTTCGAGTCACGTGTTTCCAAATGCCTGATCCTCCCCCCCATCCCTCCAGGGAGTAGGTCAGGAAAAAAAGTTAAAAACACACCCTGAATCCTGCCAGGCAAGCACTGAGCAACCAAGAGTACTACATCAAGAGCCGAGGCTCTGGTTGGCAGGTGAGAAACTTGGAACCAAAAGCAGATTGGGATTACTCAGATCCTGGGGCATGCTGAGAACTACATCAGGGAATTCTCCAAGATCTTTCCACACCAACCAATGGTAAGACATACATTTTATGTTGCGATCCAGGACACGTATAACTAGCTACACATGGACACAGATATAAACACATAACTGAAACCAGCTCCCAAAACTGCCTGCCGTGTAATAGCTATTCAGTAATTATTTCTCAAAGGAACTAAAGCCAAACCAAACCTTAGAGAAACCATACTCACCTCACCAGATGCCATGTGCTCTGATAGTTCCTATTCTTTTTCATTTCTTTAACAAGGTAAGGAGTTGCAACCCACTAAAGTGACATCACCACCACTAACAGGTAGCCTGTTCTGAAAGGAGTTTCAGGCACTGCCTGTCCCTCATTGAGGACTCCTGAAACTTGCCAGGTAGGAAGCGGGGGCTTCGGGACCCTGGAGGCACACAGGCCAGCCACGGCTCTATCTGGGTCAGGCAGAGTACCGTCAGGTGGAGTGAGGCCACCGCAGAGCAGCAGGGGAGACCTATGTTCTATGTCTCCGTTCTAGTCCACACACTGTCCCACTGTCCCCTCACACGAAACCATTCATCAAACCCAGAAACAGAGTCAGAAGTCAGAAGTCAGGCTGGCAATCACTTTGCTTCGATATCTTGTCGGAGGATCGGGAAGAGGGGGGAAACAAGGGTTACTTAAGCAGCTGTGAAAATCATGGAGCAACTTGGCAAATGAAAAATCCACTCAGACCCACCAGCAGCACAAAAGTGAGGAATTAAACAACTTTGTAAATAAAGGGATCATTACTCTCGATGCATTAATACACACTTAAGGCCTATTGAAAACTTCCCATTTCAAGATAAATGAAGAGCATTAGCTGTTCATTTGCCAAGCCAGATGGGCTGTTTCCACAGCCTGGCACTGGAGGTCGGAGGCCTGGGTCAGCCCAGGACTGGCTCGGGTGGCAAGCCAGCGGGTCGACGTCAGGGACCCGGGAGGGGCAGGTCCCTGCATTCCCGCTCTGGTGAAGGTTGTAACCACGGCCCCGTTTTTCACTCAAGGGATGTCCTCAGCGCACACCTGATGAAGTTGGGAGGAAAGTTCTACACCAGTGCATTTGCCTCCTCTGCGTTTCATCATCCTTCACCAAATAAGCATAATTGCTCCATGTTGAAGAGGTGCCAGGGACAGAGGCACTGCTGGTAATCGCCTAATGGGCGGACGAAATGAGGTGTGAGGCACATCGGTGTGAAAAAGGCAATAGCCACAAGTTTATTAACATTGGAAATTAAAATAAGCTCGGCCCCAGCCAGGCAGTCCTTGCTGAAATGAATCCCATTATCCCTCTAATAACGGCACAGGGGCTCAACTGAATGCCACCCAGGGGGTAGAGAGGCCTCAATGCAGGTCATCTCTCTGCCAGCTTCGAGGAGTTGAAGGCTGTCTGGTTCACTGAGGACGATCACAGAGGAAACACGAACAGCCCTGCCCGCCTCGCCCCTGCAGCTCCTCCCACTACACTGAAACCCGTGGGCAGGCGGGGAGCTGCGAAGAGGGGAAGCCCACCTCTATGCCATTCGGACCTGGGCACCTTTTTCAATAGTTGCTGAATGGAATTTGCAAAGGTGTACTGTAGGGCTCTGGAATGGGATCTTTTCTCTCTTTTTTTTAAAGATTTTATTTATTTATTTGAGAGAGAGGGAAAATGAGCAGTGGGGAGGGGAGGGGCGGGGGGAGAGGGAGAGAGACAGAAGCAGCCATCCTGCTGAGAACAAAACTGACAGAGGGAAGGCATTCAGAGGAATAGGGGGACTGGCCAGGCCAAGGCAGGCTTTGAGCTGGGAACTAGGAGACAGTAAGCTTGGGGGGAGGGTGGCACAGGGAAAAACACGTCGGGGAGTTTGGATTTAATGCTGGATTTAAAGGGAAGTCGTGTAGGTTTCAGGCATGAAGAATTATGTGATTAAAGGATTTAAATCACTTAACATCGCATTTGCTTTACATTAAAAAAATATGTTTGGGTTTTAAATTTTAATTCACCTTCAATTTCATGAATTTCATTCACTATTATATTCAAAGCCACTTACTTCAAATGGGAGTCCCTGCTGACCAGAAATCCAACTGTATTTCCCTGGTCCATTCACTCCCTTTGTTTCAGAGTGAAAATTTTGTAACTTTTTCTCTCTTCTCAAACTTCCGGCACATCTGCTTGGGTCCTGCTCTCAGGGCTGACCTGTCTCTTCTTCCTACTCCTCCTACTTCTACCCACCGGCCTGCCTTTGGCCTGATGCTTGGCCCCTCCGGTTTCCGCCAACACCTCCACCTGTGGCCAGATGGCTCCTCCCCTACTCAAGGATGCTCCTCCCACTACCATTGGCACACAAACAGCAGCAATTGCTCTCCTCTTAAAAAAAAAAATCCTTTCTTGTCCTCATGGTACAGTGCTTGTCCCATTTCTCTGCTCCCCTTTGCAGGATGACTGCTCAGAAGAGCTGTCTACACTGGCACACTGCACTGTCTCTCCTCCTGTTCTCTCTAGAATCCACTCCAAGTAGGCTTGACCCGGCCCCTCCAAAGAAACCACTCCTTGGTAAGGACACGGCAGACCTGATGACCTATGGTGTTGCTAAATGCAATGGTCAACTCTCCATCCTCACCTTCTCTGAACTCTTGGCATCCTCTGCCCCAGGATGCTGCTCCTTCTCAGTCTCCATCTGATTCCTTCCCATTTTTTCAACCTCTAAAAATTATAGTGAGTCCTTGGCCTCTTCCCTCTCTGAACTCTATCCCTAGTTGATCTCATCCACGGTTGAGGCTATAAACACTGCCTATCTGCTAACAAGTCCCACATTTATGTCTCCAGTTTGGACTACTCCCAACTCCGGAGAGGTCTCTACTTGGATGTCTAACAGGCATCTGGAATTTAATATGTCCAAAGGTGAACTCATGGCTCCTGCCCCACCTCCCACTCCCCTGCCACCCACACCCCCGCCTCTATATGCATTGCACCAAAACCTCCCTTCCCAGCAGCCTTCTCAACGGCAACTCCCTCCTCCCCTTTGCTCAGGACTAAAACCTCAGATCCTCACCTGCTCTCACACCCTCCATTCCAGTCCATTAGGAAATCCAACTGACCCTGATTCCAAACTAAATCCAGACTGACCACTTCTCACCATCTCCACTGCGATCTCCCTGCTCCAAATCACCATCCCTCCCAGGATCACTGTGACAGCCTCCTAGCTGGTCTCCCTGCCTCCAGCTTTGTCCTAATACAGCCTATGCTCAACACCGCAGCCAGAGCGACCTTCGTAAAGTAAAAGTAGGAGCTTGATCACTCAGAATAGAATCTGACCTAATTCCAATGGCCTAAGAAGTCCTACCCTCTCTGGCCCCAGCTACTTCTCTATCCTCTCCCTCTCTCCCTCTGCTCAGCCCCATGGGCCCCTGGCTGTTTCTCAAACACACCTTTGCACATACTGCTTGGGCTGGCTGCAGTGGAATTCTCCCAGAGGGTCCCATGGCTGGCTCCTTCAGTTCCCCCCGATCCTGCTCAGTGTCACCTACCTGCTCAGTGAAGCCTTCCCAACCACTCTGTATAAAGCACACACACACACTGTCCCCACAATTCGCTTTGTCTGCTTGACTTCTCCATTCAGCTTATTGCCATCTGTTAAACTGAATCCGTAAGTGTTCATCGTCTCTCATTAGAACAGAGCTCATCTGGGGTAGGGACTATGTTGTGGTCCCTCCCGTGTCAGTGCCTAATATGTAGTAGGAGCTCAACAAATACTCGTGGGATGAACAGTACTTATTGGAACCCACTCTTTGAAGCACCCGCTATGTACAAGGAAAACACAAAACCCCCCTCTGCTCCATCCATCCAGGGGCTCAGTGGCCAAGGCCGGGATTAACCCCCACAGCTGCCACAAACACTACCTGAATGCACAGCCCTGCCGGCCCGCCGGCCCCGTCCCCACCCCACCGCAGGATTATCAAGACCAGTGTCTTCTGCCCCCTGTTCCCTTGCCTGGGAAAGGAGTTTTCTGATGCCAGGGGCTGCCTGGTTGCTTCCCTCCAAACAAACATAATCGACTGTAACCCACAGTTTCCTTCCATTAAGCTGAGGGAGCAGTGGCCGGGATGCCAAGTCTCAGCACTTCCATTTACTTACTACGTCATTTTGGCCAAGGTTTTTAATCTCCTGAATCTCAGCTTTCTTCAAAATAGGCTGGGAAAAGTAAAGCTGACTTCTAGAGATGTAATGGGATTAAATGAAATGAAGAGCAGGTAACACTTGATGGACAGCACTTGCTCACTGGATGTTGGTTTCCTTTCTCGTCACACCAAAAGGTAACCCTAGAATCACGCTGAAGTTACAGTTTCTAACCCAACACTCAACTGTGGCCCTCCAAAAAAGCCTGGCCAGGGCTCAGCGGTGGTGGAGACCAGCATAGGCTGTGTGAACCTGTTTAGACCATTCTCCCCTTCCCCTCCTCTTCCTCCCTCTCCTCCTTCACACAAGCCCACAGAGGAACAGACTGCCCTTGGCTTCCTTCTTGCATTTATGGCAGACCTTCTCCGTCCTGCAAGGGTGGTGAACTGAATTCAGAAAAGTGACAGGTCATTACAAATATACTGCATGTTGTAAAATAAAAGAATGTCCTTGTTAGAAAGCCAAATGACTTACTTTGGGAGTAACTTTAAATGATAGGCTTAGGATACTGCAAATGCAGAGTGCACGTGTTACACTTTGGTACAGTACTTTCTTTTTTTTTTTTTTTTTAAGATTTTATTTATTTATTTGACAGAGAGAGAGATAGCTAGAGCAGGAACACAAGCAGGGAGAGTGGGAGAGGGAGAGGCAGGCTTCCTGCCGAGCAGGGAGCCCGATGTGGGACTCGATCCCAGGACCCCAGGATCATGACCTGAGCCGAAGTTCAGACACTTAACGACTGAGCCACCCAGGCGCCCGGTACAGTACTTTCAATATACACATGGCACTCAAATATCAATACATGTGGATGTTGGCATTAATCCTTTAACTGGAATGATCTCTGACGGTAACTCTCCATTACTCAGCTCTCTATTGATTTGGGTTCAGACTTGGAGAAGACTCAGGCCAGGTCTCCACTGAGGAGAGTGGCATGGAGAGTTGGTAATTATCCAATGAATTCCAGTAATTATGCAATGAATTACAAATTGTCTATATCAGCGTTTCCTGGAATGTTTAATTCAGCAACATACCTGTGCACTTTCCAGGACACATTTGGAGGAGTGGGTTGGAGAAGAGGGATGTTCAATGGGGAAGCCTGTCTACTTCCCACTGCCTAGTACTTGTCCCCTACATCCCCTCACCCCAACATATTCCTATAAACGCATGCAACTCACACGACTTTGGGTTTCAGTTTCCCACCATCCCTTCTGCTTCCAAAGTAAAAACTCTAAAGTAAAAGAAAAAAAAAAAAAAAGCTAAAGAAACCCTAACTGACTGTATGTGTTACATTGAGTAGGTACTGTCTGCATTAGATGGCTTAACTAAAATGCTGTGATTACTACTCTGAAGCCAGGACTTTGACACAGGTCATGGACCTCTTTAAGAATTGGGAAATAACAGGATGCCTGGGTGGCTCAGTTGGTTAAGCGACTGCCTTTGGTTCAGGTCATGATCCCGGAGTCCTGGGATCGAGTCCCGCATTGGGCTCCCTGCTCAGCAGGGAGACTGCTTCTCCCTCTGACTCTCCCCCGTCTCATGTTCTCTCTCTCAAATAAATAAATAAAATCTTAAAAAAAAAAAAAAGAATTGGGAAATAACAGGCTCTACCCTCAAAGCTCAACTTGGTCTGGGTACATCTCTGCTTCTCCCCAAGATATATTTGATTGCTGAGGTTCCCAGACTCCTGCAAACCTACCATTTTTGAACCCACATTAGCAGGGTTGAGTCCAACATGAGTCATATGTGTCTTTTGTTGGAGAAATCATTTTTTATGCTTATTTTCAACAACAAACTTATCAAAGTGAGTGAATACCAGAAGCTGGGTAGTTTTGATGATGAATGAGTCTGGGAATGAGGGAGAAGCCTCCAGATACTTCTGAAGACATAGCACCTCTCCCATGTTCAATGGTCCTTTCCTTTGTACTCTGGCATAACAAGTATTCCTTGCACTTTCTTCCAAATCAGATGATGACAATGCTAATTGAACTCCTGGGATT